CTGCCCCACCCGCAGCCCCACCCCGGGTCTGGAGCTACCTGGCTTCTTCCCGGGCTCAGGCATCTTGAGAGAAGTCGAACCAGCAACCGAGCAGGCACAGGCCACCCGAAGAAGATTTTAGCAGGGACCCGTCCCCCACTATATAAGGGGCCCTTTCCCTCCCCAGGCCCCCCTTATCTGCCTCCTTCCCAGCTACCTGCTAAATATAGACAAATTCCAGAGAGCAAGGGCTCTCCAGGAGAAGCTAGGGCCGCGTTGTTCCTGGCTGGCCCCTGGCCCTTCCCCCTGCCAGCCTGGGGCCCGGCTGCCCTGAGTCCTGCCACGGCTGCTCCCTGAACCTCCCAGTGCCTTAGTTTCCTCACCTGTGAAGTGGGGCTGGTGATAGCAGCACCCGCCGCCTAGGACTGTTCAGTGAATGAAGTGGGTTTACCTATGGAGACGCTGGAGCAGTGCGGGGCATGTGGAAAACGCTGAGGGGGGGTTGCTGTTATTATCTGGCACCTGGTACCGCAGGTCACAGGGCCCTGGGCTGGCTTCACCTGCGGGACCCTGGGTGAGTCACATCCAGGGTCAGGTGAGGAGGGAACAACAGTGAGGGCTGGCATCCCCCAAGGGGGAGGGGGAGCAGCAGGCAAGGGCATGAGGGTGAATCTCTAAATACACCCCAAAGTGGAAGACACGGGCAGAGCTGGCTGCTGCCAAAGTCACAAGGATTCACACAAAAATGACCGTCGGCTGGTCTCAATCCCCATGTGCACCCACCTCACTGTTCCCCTGTGATCTCTGACCCTCCCTCCCCCCCTTCCCATCAGGGGCACCCGTTGTTACAAAGAAAGAAGCAAATTACAGGTGAGGCCTCACAGACTGACTATCAGGAAAGGCTATTGCCCCACGTGTTCGGGAGGAAGCAATTCTCCACAGGAGCACAGCGTGGCTGAAGCTTAGTGTCCCTGTACACCCAGAAATCCATTCTTTTCTGCCATTTAACCCCTTTTCGGCCGCACCACATGCTCCGGAGCCTTCTTTAAAAGAGGACTGCGCACCACTGGCCCTCTCTCAGGGCTTGAGGACCCGCGTAGGGAGTATCAGGCTTGGGCCTCGGTGAGCCAGAGGCCTCGGGGTGTCTGCCCAACACTGGCGCCCCAGAATCTGGGTTCTGTGTGCTCTGCCGGCCACGGAGGGAAGCTTCCTCACTCCCAGGCTCTCGGTGCCACTTCTTGCTACTGGGTGTCAGGAGCAAGAAGCTTAGAGGCTTCCAGGCTCATCCTTTGTGTTTCTCTCCTGCTGTGGCCTGGAACCAGAGAACGCAAGACACCTGGATTCTGGGAGGATGCCTGGTGGCCCACTGGAGCTCTGGGGCTTAATTCCTGGTCCCCACTCTGCTGAACGGTACCCCAGTTCAGACACGTGGAGCCTCCTGCCTCACACGTGGAGGCAGCCCACGCGGAGTTCGAGGCGGCCTGCCGAACCCCAGCTGTGTGACCTTGAACAAATTATTTGACCTCTATGAGCTTCAGTGTCCCAGTCTATACAGTGGGATGATATTAGACCCCACTTCTCAAGATTGACATGTAACAAATGGCCGTTACCATCACCACCACCACTGGGGGCATAACACAAGGATTATGAGTTTAAGCCTCATTGAGGCTATTTTAAAAACCCATTTATCAGGTGTGGATGGCTTTTAAATGATTTAGTCCCCTAATAACAACTGAGGACTCGTTCTTTCCACAGCTCTAACTCCTGGTGGATCACTGTGTCCTCGTGTCCCCACTGGGTAGGGTCCTCAGTAAATGCCAGACAGAGAAATGGGAAAAGGGGAGATCACACGGGGGTGGGGGGGGGTGGACAAACCATTTTCAAAGAGACTTTCTGTGCTGCAAGAGGACTCACTGAGAATAACTTTAATAAGAGGAAAGGTAAGGGGGGTGGTGAGGAGGGACATGCTTAAAAACTAGGTTCAATTTACACAGACATGGTAACTTCAAACTCCCAAGGAAGCGCCTGGTTGTACTAAGCCAGGCTGACCCTTTCTGGGGTCAAACACTCTGGAGCTAGGGCTAGAGTCCTGAAGGGAGGTGAAGCGGGAGCGTGGGCAGGGGCTTGGAGGAGGGAGTGGGTAGTGAGTGAGGCCTGGCCGGCCACAGTCCTGCCCTGGCCCCCGGGAGCGTCCCTCCCTGTGTCCGGGCCGGCGTGGGGGTTAATGCTATGGCCAGCAGGGAGGCCTGGCCGGCCCAGCGGGTCACTGGCCGGGGCTCAGTGGGGCTGGTGGCGCCGCTCCGCCAGGCTCCCGCGGCCCAGCACCTCCCCGCTGAACTGGTAGGTGAGTTTCTTCTTGACCTTCTTGACCTCGCCCGTCTTGCCGTAGTTGCGCAGCGCGCGGGCCATCTTCTGGTAGGTCATCTTCTTCCGGTTGCCCTTCTGGATGCCCCAGCGGTGTGCCAGCGCCTCTTTGTGCTTGGACGAGAACTGGAAGGTGCCCTTATCCTTGTCAACCCACCAGATGCTGTCCTTCATGTCGCCACTGCGGAGCAGGTCGAGCAGGAACTGGTACAGGCGGATCTTCTTCTTGCTGCCTGTGGGTGGGGTGGTCAGCGCCCCAACTTGGGGACCCATACCCCCCACCCCAGACAGGGGCCCCTGGGGGTTCTGTATGGGAAAGGATGGGATTGGGGGAGGTCCACGGGGAAACCGGCTGCCCCACCCTCTGCCTGGCACACACATTCACACTCACACCCACTCACACACAGCAGAGGGGCACAGACACTCACCCGCCCAGGCTGTCACAGAGAGGCCTGTGTCCACTCACAGCTCTCATGCACATGTGTTCACACACTCACATAGGTATAGGCATTCATAGGTGCTCCCACAGGACACACAGAACACGCACATTGGTATATGTTCACACATGCACAGGTACACCCACACACTCAGCTCGTGGTAGGACTAATGCATCAGTAGGCCTGGCTGGCATGGGCATGGGGCACAGATATGACCACGTGGGGGCTGGGGCTGGACCCCCCTACCTGTTTCCCCATGCAGGAGGCCTGGCCCAGACTCCAGGCCATCGGCCTCCCCATCGGACACCTCCAGCGGGGGACTCTGCCGCTCACCCTCCTCTTCATCTGTGCTGGGCTGGGCCGGGGACAGGGAAGGGTATGGGAGGCACATGCGAGGCAGGTAGGAGACCTGGAAAAAGAGTTGAGGTCAGTGAGGGACGTCGGAAGCTCGGGGCTGCAGGACTGGGGTCACTGAATGAGAGAAGAGGGAGTGCCAAGGGTGGGGAGGTCAGCAGGGGCCATGAAAAATTTGGAAGGGCCCGGCCAGGCGTGGCTCAGCGGTGGAGTGTCGACCTAGGATCCAGGTGATCGGGGTTCGATTCCCGGTCAGGGCACATGCCCGAGTTGTGGGCTTGATCCCCAGTCGGAGGCGTGCAGGAGGCAGCCGATCAATGACTCTCTCATCATTGATGTTTCTCTCTCTCTCTCTCCCTCTCCTTTCCTCTCTCTGAAATCAGTAAAGATATATATATATTTTTTTTAAATTTGGAAGGAGGCTGGGGACATTGGAAGTCCATCAGGTTACAGGCAGGGTCACCACACACAGGGTACAGGTCGTGGGGACAAGGGGCTGCTTGAATTCCCACCAAGCTGGGCCCCCTGGTTCATGGCCCAGTGGCCCAGGAAAGGGGCCTCTTTCTTTCACACACACAAAGGTACTGTATGGACTATAAGTGGCCTGGGGTGAGAAGTGGGGGTGAAGAGGGCCAACGAGTTCACTACCCAAGTGAATGGGTGACGAGTGAGTGAAGGGGCAGTGGAGGTCAGTGAGGGGTGGTAGAGGTCACTGGAGGTCACTGACTGGGACTAGGGTTGGTGGGGCTGAGGAGGGTCAGGGATCTATGGGGAGAGGGAGGAGCCAGTAAAGGTCAGCGCAGGTCAGTGCTCAGTGACTTGGATGCCAGATCCATCAGGGGCTGGCCCTCCTGAGCCAGCAAGGGTCAGGAGGGCCCATGACAAGGCTGTTGGGGTCGAGTGGATCAGTGGGAGTGGATTATCTGGGCTCTGTCCATCGTGGGGGGAGAGCAGATAAGGGGCATGGGGTCATGAGGTCAGTCGGAGGGTCAGGAGGAGCCGTTGGGGCTCTGGCCGCCGTTGGCGCTGTGGGGCAGGAAGCCGAGTTGAGTAAGAGCCTATGTCAGCTTCCTGTGAAGCCTGGGCCTCACCACAGGCCATGGGCTCCTCCAGGCCGGGCCAGGCCATACGCACCCACCTGGTGGCTGAGGCCGGCATGGGCGGGCGCCATGGGAGTGTCCAGCACGTGCATCTGCTCCAGCTCCATGTGGCGGTAGAGCTGCTGCAGCTGTGGGGGCTGCACGCTCTGCAGCTCCGTGAAGTGGTTCTCGGCAAAGCTCTCAAACTCACTGTGCACGTGGTGCGGGTGGAAGTCCCAGTAATGGTCTGTGGGGCACAGCCGGGCAGTATGGGGTTAGAATCATTTAAAAAATAAGAATGCCAAGGTTGCGAGTTCAATGCCCCCTTAGGGCACGTACAAGGAGCAACCAATGAATACCTAAGTAAGCAGAACAACACATCGATATTTTTCTCTCTCTCTCTCTTCCTTTCTCTCTCTCAAAAAAATCAATAGCCCTGGCCAGTGTGGCTCAGTTGGTTGCGCTTTGCCCGTGCACCAAAAGGTCGCCGGCTTGATTCCTGGTCAGGGCACATGCCCAGGCTGTGGGTTCAGTCCCCGGTTGGGATGTGTGTGGGAGGCAACTAATCTGTTTCTCTCTCGTACCAATGTCTCTCTCTCAATCCCTCTCCCTTCCTCTCTCTCTAAAAAAATCAATAAAAAAACCCACATTTTTTAAATATAAAAAAAAAAATTTTTTTTTAAAAAGAATGCCAGATCTTATTAGGCAATTATCATGGGCCAGACTGGGCTACAGGTTGACATCAGCCATCTAACGACCCAGCTTGTTATTTGACAATCCCCATTTTATAGATGAGGACCCTGAGGCTTGGAGAGGCTGCACACATAGTATGTCTGTGGTCAAAGGCCTGGTCAGTCGGGACCCAGGGCTGAAGCAAAGTCTGCATTCTCAACAACCTTTCTGTTCTGCCTCCCAGGCAGCCGCAAGGATGCAGGCTTTTGAGCCAGAGTCTGAAACGTGGTTCTGACATTTAATTTCTGTGTGACCTCAGGCACATGCATGGGCCTCTCTGGCCTCAGTTGACTCACCTGTAAAACGGGGATAATAATTATCAGGAGGTTACCAATGAGTTCACATTTGTAAAACTTCCAGCCCCAGAGTAGGCTAGGAGTTAAGACCTCCCAGTGGTTCCTGAGCTGACTGGCTGCCCCCAGTCACGTGCACACAGCCTAGTCACATGGCCAACGCGTATGACTGCAAAGCCACAGAGCTGGCATTCTTCACACACCAGAATCAGTCCAGGCTCATGGTGCTGCTCAAAGCCATGGCCTTGGGCAACTGTATCTGTTCAGCAAGGTTGCTAGGACCCGAGGCCTTCCTGGAAACTCCCCCGTGGGTGCTTTCAGCCTGCGGTGGAATGGACTCGAGTTTGGGGAATGATCACATGCCACAGGGAGCTCTGACTTGGGACTCGGGCAGGTCTTCGACCTGGTTCCTCTGGGCACCTTTTCTAGGAACGAAAACTGCCACATATCTGAAGACTTCCTGGGTACAATTTGGGATCCAGATGAAGATGTGATAAAGTGACAAGAGGGATTTTCTCATGTCACCCAAAGTGTATGAGATGCTAGGCCAGGGCACTGTCTCAGGGACAAGCACAAGGCCCTGCAGGGGGACCACCACCAGCCTCATGTGCACATGTGTGTGTGATGTGTGTGTGTCTGTCTCCCTTTTTCTTTTTCTCTCTTGCACAAACATATATACACACTCACACATCCCTAAGAAATGACATGTGTTTTTTGGGCTCTGGGGTGGCTTTGCCATGTGACCCTGAGCCTCTAGTTCCCCACTAAAAGTTGGAGACCTGGCTGAGTAGTTACTGACCCCTCAGTCCAGACCCACAGATCTATGAGGCCACATGAACTAGAGGAGAGAAATGCATGATTTGGGAGTCAGGCAGAGCTGGGTTCAAATTCTGACTCTGCCATTTACCACGATATGACATGGGCAGGCCACTGCACTTTTCTCAGCCTCAGTTTCCTCACCTGTACGATGGGACTAATAATTACACCCATCTCCTAGGCTTGTTGTGAGGATGAAATGAGCCTGCAAAGTGCTTTGACTAGAACCTACCACAAAGCAAGGCTCAGTCGACATCTATTACTATTATTACTACTGTTACTAGTTTATTCTAAAGAGCCTGGATTCGCAATTGAGCAAAGGGCAGATGCTTTATATACAGTTATTCCCTCCTCTTCCCCCTGCTCCTGTCACCTTAGTCAATGGCCCAGAGAAATAGTTTTAGGGGCCCTAGCTGTCACTCTGTCCCCGAGGCTGGAGTTGGGGCCACAGCATGAACCGTAATGGCAGTGACTGCTTTTGTTCAGCCCCACAGTCCCTGCGCCTGGACCCAGCAGGCACATAACAAATGTTTCCTGCGTGAATGAATGAATCCTGTTCTCTTAAGGACTTTCTCTGGCTCTCCTCCACAAAAATCACTAAACCTGATTTAGGGAAAACAAAGCAACACTTAATTTGTACATTCGTCTTGCCGTGAGTGAGCGAGATCCAAAAACTCCCCGCGTGCTGTGGGGAGTTGGCACTGTCCCTTAGAGACAGGCCCTTTGGGGGCCTGGGACTTAGTGAGCACATCGGGTTCCTCTTTAGCTGTAAATCCGCCCTCCGGCCCCACTCCTGGCCTTTCCCATTTCTGCCTTCCCCTACCTGAGTTGAAGTACCCAGATCTTCGCAGAATGCCCCATCAGTCCTACCCATCAACCCTCCACCCTCACACCCACTGCACTTTGGGGTTAGGGGGACCCCGAGTACACGCAGCTCTCCGGGTGTGGGGGAGGGCCCTGATTGCTCTTTCCCTCCCGTTCCCTACCCCTGTTCTAGTTCCACCTGAGACCATGGGCTCACTCTGGTGGTCCTAGCCTGAGGCCAACATTTCCCAAAGCACTTGAGTAGCCCTTCATCGGAGCCACGCTGGGTGCTACAGTATTAATCCTCCTTTTGCACATGAGGAAACTGACTCAGAGATTACAAGTCCCTTGTCCACAGGCAGTCATTGGTAAGGTCAGGATCCAAACCTCTCTGTGTATGACTCCAGGCACTGAGCTCTTACCACTCTACCATACCCCTGAGGAACAAGACTGTTAATGAAGCTTTAAGACCCATGGTAACAGACTTCAGTGACTGCTCTTACCCATCTGCATGTTTACCATCATCCATGCTTCATCCATCATCCATCATCCACTCATCCATCCATCCAAACATCCCTCCAAACATCTATCCATCCATCCATCCATCCATCCAAACATCCATCCACCCAAACATCCACCCATCCAACCATCCATCCAAACATCTACCCATCCATCCATCCAAACATCCATCCATCCATCCATCCATCCATCCATCCATCCATCCATCCATCCAAACATCCATCCATCCATCCAAACATCCATCCATCCATCCATCCATCCATCCATCCATCCATCCATCCATCCA